CATGGCTATTCCTGTGTTGCAATATTTGGGAGGAGGGCTTATTTTGGGGGGAGGGGTTATTTTAGTGCATGCGCTCAAAAACTCGATTGGAATTATTACCTGGGGAGGTCTTATTTTCAGGGAAACAGGGTACTGTCATGACTCATTTGTGTGTCTCATATTTAGACTCCTATTTTCATTAGCAAGCAAAAACATAACTAATGTGTTATGCCTCAAAAATCTAAACAGACCTTTTGAAAAAAGAGGGAGGTGGTAGAAAGAATACACCACAATATCAGTCCCATCTTTCATAATAGAAACCACCATAGCACTTAGCTCTCAAAATAATATTTTTTCAAAATGCAGTCTCTGAAAGTCAAGGATGTTGTTCCTTCTAAGCACTCATTTCGCCATTAAATGAAAAGCAGCCAACCGGGAAACTCAAGCAATGGGGCTGCAGCTCTTGAGAAGAACCAAGGATTAATTGTCTGTTGTATTATATTTTATCAGAGAGGTGGAATGTCAGTTTATTAATTAAAACAAATAAACATTACCAATGTTTAACATATGTTTTTCTCACCCTTGTCAAAGCCACGAAGTTACAATCCATTTGTTTGCAAGGGTAGTCAACCTGCCCCTACTACAATCTATTTCATGGTTTTTAAGACATTTCAGAATGTGGAAGAAAAGAATCCACAACTGTAGTATTATAACTTCAATATACATTACATACTGAATTCTATCTAATTTGCAGTGGTCCAGTGTCAACTTGTAAAATTATAGTTCTTTAATACATTCTGATTTGAGTGAATTAATGAATACCATAGGAAATAATATTACGATAAAACAATGGAGGTCATATTTTAAAATTCTTTACCATCTGTTCTAAAAATACTAAACACATTTAACAATAATTGCAGAATATACCATTTAGTTTCATTCCTGTTAATTTCTGGCACTGAGAAGTATACCTTGGCTCCTACACTTTCTATAAAAATATTTATCAAAACTCTGTCTTTATTTGACTTCATGCTATCCCACCTGTTATTCTTTTTCATGGAATACTATTTTTACTATATTATAGACTATATTCACTATATAGATAGATAGATAGATAGATAGATAGATAGATAG